TTTGTTATTGCTAATAAAAGTTCTTTACTTTAAAAATATTATATTGAATGTTAAAAGTTTTAGTATTGTGTTTTCCTAGTGTAAAAACATTTTATTTAATCAAAAAATTCAAAAAAAAAAAAAAAAATTAAACTATTTCTATTTCAAAACAATATTGAAACCTGCAATTACCCTAGCTGTAAGTCTATGCAAGAAAAAACACTTAAATTCAAGCTCTGTCAATATTATGTAGATTGAGCCCTTTGATGTTGGCATCAACCCTGAGCTAGAGCAACAACTCCAAAGACTTCTAAATGACCTTGGTATACAACCAGTCACTCAGGTAAGCAATCCAGCTTTCAAGCATCATTACAAGACCAAGACAATCATGTCAACTCTGAAAAAATAGGTTTAAGCTTCTACCAATTGATATAAAGACATCTCTCACTCACATGAAAAAACAAATGTCTGGATATAGTTTTCTTAGCACTTGGTGTAAAGTGAAGTTACTCTTAAACATTGGTCTAAAAGAGTTAGAACAATAATTATGAATACCTTGGGGAAAAGAATGGGGCATACTATCTCTTGGAAGCATAGATTATTTTTTACAATTATGCAAAAGATGTTGTCACTGAGATAAAGTTTGTTCTGCAAGATAAAGCAGAATGGTTTTTTTGATTTGATTATTTTAAATAATTGCTAGCTATCAGTATTGGGTGCTTTCAGACTTCATTTCAGTGACAACTAAAAAAGTTGTGTACTTAACACACCTTTGTGTGGACCATCTTGTGCAATGGATGGGTCAGCATGTTGGTGTACAGAAATCCTTGAAAAACAATTAAGAACAGTGTCACGTACAACCAAAAAAATAATAGTGTGATTGAAGTTTCCTTTCCTTTCCATTAAAAAGTGCTTGGAAAGTGAAGGTTACTTTTTGATTTGTAGTCAGAATTTTAGCCGGGAAAGATAAGAAGTCATGCATCTGCAAACTCCTAAATTTCTAACTCCATTTTGAAAAAAAAAAGTGACATAGCTATGTACAGTAGCTTGGATCTTGTACAAGATTCTAAACTTGCAGAATACTGTACAAAATTCTGCAAAATGTCTGACATTTTTACACTTTCATTAGAAGTTTTTTGTGCAAAATGTTTATTRAGGAACATGAATGCCAGATAAAATTCTGATTATAAATGATTCTTGTCTGAAGTCAAAATGCATTACCAAATGGTTTTCATTTTTTATGTGACACTRTTCTTTTTTGTGTATAATATAGAAATACTGTAATGGAAAATATGAAATAAAGTGCTTCTAAGATGTAGTCTTGCCCCATCTTTGTCCCATGGTGAAGAAGAGATTCACTGGTTCCAACGAATGTTGAACCTCCCTCCGTTAATGAAAACCAGAGCATATTAGGTTTGATGGCATTTAGGTTATACAAGTCTTGGGAGGTGAGTACCATGAGTGTTCATGTTAAAAAACATTCTATAAATTGTGTTTACGCATAAGCCTTACCAGTACTCCAATTTGGAATCTGAAAAAAGAGGCCGTGAGAGAGAAGCAGTCTGTTGGGTAGCGTTTGTAGCAGCACAAAGAGAGGAGGAGAGGTTGGGGTTGAACTTGTGCCCCTGCTGACATTGCTTATTCCCCAAACCTCCCCCCACTATTGGTTCACTGCAAAGCTAGCTCTAGACACATTAGCCTCCCTCCCCCTCCCCTCTTCAACCAGTATTCTGTAATTTCATAATCACAATGACATGCTGTTGCAGTGCAAAAGACAAATATCAAACATTTTCCTGTTAATAGTCAAATCAAATAAATGGCTTTTTTTGTATATATGTCTGTCCTTAGTTTTGAAATTCGTTGCTCATAARTTACAAAAAAATATATATTTATTTTACTAAAGAAGCATACTTTGTATTTTTTTACCAAGTTCTGATATGGGAAGTATAGTATTTAATCTATATATTTCAGCCTCAAACGTCGGAAGATGGAATTTCCTTGGTGCTGCCACCTGGCAGCAARTTTGACGTTGAAGCACCTGATAATCGTAAAGGTGTTGTTGAATGGACCCCACCCAACATGAACTGGAATCCTTGGGTCAATCAGCCTATGATAATAGAAGGCGCAGAACAATACCAGGTAAAAGGGACTTTCCTATTTCTATTTATTCTTTTTATATTTTTTTATTTTATTTACTCACAACAGCACATAACCAATAACTTTGGACCCATTATAGCGATACTTCATATGACATACCACTTTAACTCGTCCAATCCCAACCCCCGATTAAAAGCTGCTCTCAAATAAGCCTTTTCATAGTTTAAGAATCGATTCCACTGCGCATGCGATTTTATCCCGAATTTCTCACCTTCTTTTGTTTAATTAAGAACAAAAGAAGGTTTAGACAAAAGAATGTGACAAAATCGGGATAAAATCGCATGCGCAGTGGAATCGATTCTTAAACTATGAAAAGGCTTATAAGCGCCGCACCTATTATAAGAACAAAATTATTAATAAGCGCTGCCCCCACATAAGCGCCGCTTTTTAATCATTTTGTATTTTTTAAACGTTTGTATTCACTTTGTATTAGATCTATGGTTACACAACATGTATTATGGTAAACACAGTTTTTCAAATAAGCGCCACCCTGGGATAAATGCCGTCCCCATATTATCGCATATGAAACCCAAACAATTCAATAAGTGCCACGGTGCTTTAACGAGTAAATACGGTATTAAAACCAACTAAAAAGCGCTAAAATTCAGTCCGCACTTGGGCAAGAACTCCCCGGGGGAGGGGGGCACTCCCTTATGAAAGGGGGCGGGGGTCCTCGTCGTCCCTTTTAGGGTTTGAAATCAGGGTTTTGGTCCCGCTTAGGGTGATAACGACGGGAATGCGCACCAACTGAATTTTGTGGTCCCTTTTAGACTATGTACTGTTTAATAAACGAGCAGGAGTTTTTTATCGGGTATAAAACACGAGGCGTAGCCRAGTGGTTTTAGACCCGATAAGACACGATCTGCGAGTTTATTAAACGGCTTAGAAAACTCATGATGTATGATCTCATATGGTACAGAATTCTTTACGAAATGAACCAAGTTTGATAGAGAAAATCCAAGTTAAAGTTTATGCAAATGAAGACGAATCTGTATCAGATATAAAGTCACCTTCATGGTCATGATTTCTATTGTGTTTCCTTCATGAATTATTAATGAGTTTTCTAAAAACTACAAAAAGACAAGCGAGTTGTATATGATGACGTTGTCATAAATTCGTTAGAGCAGACGGCGCCTGATGCAAATAAAATCGAGAAACCAAAAAAAAAATGCTTAATTGATTGGTCCCTCTTAGGGGTGAAATTTCATCCCTGCCACGCCCATCATCCCAAAATACAGGTCCCTTTTAGGGGTCATTTTCGGAATTTCCGACGAGGACCCCCGCCCCCTTTTATAAGGGTGTATTTTGTCATTRACAGTTTGTGTTTTCCAMCAGGAACCGATACCTACCAGTAGRGATTACTTTGAAGAGCAYCGCWGCAAATGCGATACAGACCCAGCCTACATGGAGATGCTTCAACAGCGCAGCTCTCTGCCTGTTTTTRGTTACAAAGATGSTATCACGCAGGCAGTAAATGAGAATAGAGTGATTGTCATCAAAGGAGCGACTGGTTGTGGAAAAACTACACAAGTATGTGAAATAATATCCCAGAAAATACTTTGAATTTCCGGCAGTTAAAGTTGCAATGTTTGGTTCAGTAAATACGACATAAATAGATTGCGTACCATACGGTCTACTGGGGTCCGTCAACTGAACTTACTAATTCGTGYAAATTTGTGCGATTTCTTTCTAAGTTTTACRCGGACATATGCTATGCTCTTTACTGTGATTATTATTTTCGGAGAGTATTCGTTCTAGAGGGTGGTCTGTTAGATAYAGATATGCGAGCACTTTTTCTATTTTTGCACTGAACATTCACGACTTTCAAACGTCAGATCATTTAGATTTCATCATTAAAAAACATTACTCATTCGGGCTGTCAGAAAATTACAACCAGCAGCCCAAAACCACGAAATAATAAACACACAGGCTACTAGAAATTCATGGGAATCAATTCTGAACAGTTGGATTGTGCCTCGCTTCTTGGGGGTACAGAGTGTAAAGATTGGAAAAGGAAGAAAGATAGGAAGCCAAAAAAGGGAGAGAAAGAAAGAAGAAAAAAARAAACRAAATRAAAGACAAGAAAATATTTTTCATTTCAAGGTCTTTGTGTTTTCAAATGGTTTTATCAATTTTCCAGGTTCCTCAGTTTATTCTTGACGAATTCTTAACATCAGGAAGAGGGACAGACTGCAGTATTGTTGTAACACAGGTAAAAACCACAGGGATCCCATTTATAAAAACAGGAATACACTAGTGTGCAGTCCTGCTTTTCCCTACTGACTTAGTTGAGTTAAGCTTTTTCTCTGCCTAAGACGCATTGTGTTGGGGGTGAGTTTGAAACGGTACGCAGGGAGTAGAAAAGTAATTTCTTTCTCTCTTCGCATCCTGCATCGCTTGCGCGTAGCTGTGGAGCTACAGAGTGCAGCTGTCTTAATTTTACACTCATTTCATTCGTATTTTTTCACACCAGCCTCGTCGTATCAGTGCTGTTAGTGTCGCTGAGCGTGTAGCTATAGAGTGCAGCTGTCTTAACTTTACACTCATTTCATTTTGTATTTTTTCACACCAGCCTCGTCGTATCAGTGCTGTTAGTGTCGCTGAGCGTGTAGCTGTTGAGCGCAGTGAACCAATTGGTTCAAGTGTTGGTTATTCAGTTCGTTTTGATTCGATTCTWCCCCGAAGCCATGCCTGTATGCTGTTCTGCACCGTTGGTAAGTAGAGAAGAATTTCTACTGAACAAAAGTGATCCACTTGGATTTTAAATGGTTAATTTTTGCGGAGGGTGGAAAACCAGATAAATTTGAGTAAACTCCTTGAAGCACAAAAGAGAACCTACAAGCAATTCTATACTCATTTACAATAATACAATACGATTCTGACTGATTTTCGTGGACCCCTGCTCGCAGCTTTTCTCTTGAAAACATCAATGGTGGCCCCTTCGGGTACCGGACACAGTGTTTCAATAGAAACAACTAAAGATCCTAAGTTATACAATAGAACAAAGCTAACAAAAGATATAAAGAAGATAATTAGCTAAAAACTAGTGTGMGCTGCGTCGGTGTTTCTAATGAAGCAGTAATGATAAAAGGGTAAATTATACACCGTGAAAAGATGAAAAAACTTACTGACGTTTCGGACGCTAGTCCTTCGTCGGAGTAAAAGCAAAAGATACAATAGAGTACTCAAGTGATGACGTCACAAAAATTATTTTTCGCTTGATCATATTTTTGGTTAACAATTTCGATAGACAATCAAAAAAGACGTTTTAAACTAAGCCGAAAAAACTGATTTGTATGGGGTAATTATATATTCAAATGGTCGTATCTCAGCTGATATTTGACCAATTCTCGTCAGAATTGGTATGCAAAAGTCCTTTTTGATTGTCTATAGAAATTAAAGATCAAAAATAATTATAGTCAAAATTTATTTTTCGTGACGTCACACTTAAGTACTCTATACATTTACGCTACATGCAGTAGGACCTACTTGATTTCAATGTCCAAAATGAGTGATTCGAAGGAAGGACAATTATTTGCAAGAGTGGCACTGCCTGCATTCAATCTAATTGAAATTTAGAAGTTGATTTTTGTAGAGGGTGGAAAACCAAAACTTGGAGAAGAAACCTTGAAGCGCAACAGAGAACCGACAAAAACTCTACTCACATTTTGGGAACACCATGTTGTAGCTTTTCTTTAGAAAGCATCTTTAAACATAGTTATACATTTATCTCCTTCTGAGAGTGTATCGAGCATCTCGTTCGGATTGCGTAACATTGCGCAATAATTTTTTCTTTGCGTTAAAATGTTGAGGGAGATTCTCCCCCTACACAGCAAGAAAATGTTGTGTACGGTTGTCATACTATCATCATTCACTCTCCAGCTTACGAAATCATTTAATCATTTTAGTTGTTTGAGCCTTTTGCAGTCTGGTGTCAGTTCAGGTCAATGGTAAAGTTCATGTTTAACTCTTCTTTTCCATTATTCCAGGTGTTCTGCTCAGAAAACTGGAGAATGGGTTACATGGCATATCACATGTAGTTGTGGATGAGATTCACGAACGAGATATCAATGTACGTACAAAACATAGACCTCGCTCCTTCGCACAATAGAGCAGTTTTCGTATGAGCGTGAAAAGCTCGCGGCACGGACACGACTAATATGGGAAAAGGAAAAAAGCGAGCGCGGTTGGGAGGGGGGAAGCTGTAGCACCCCAGCCACCCCGTCTCCGCGGTCCCTGACCATTCTTGACTGCTGCATTCGATATTCTGCAAACTCAGACATTTCAACGGTTTGTTGTGAAATTGTCTTTTTTTACTGCCGTCAGTCAAGAACATAAAAGAAAAAAATTATCGTGTAGCTTGTAACTACCAAGCAGCACACGGACAGATAGATACCATTGAATTAAGGCCTAGAATTGTTTTTTTTAACAGACTGATTTCATCCTTGTGGTTCTTCAACAAATGATTAAGACCTATCCCAATCTACGAGTCGTCCTCATGTCGGCTACCATCGACACRCAAATGTTTACGGAGTATTTTGGTAACTGTCCTATCATTGAAATAGAAGGCAGGTCATTCCCAGTACAAGGTGAGCTAACGACCAATTTTCAGGTTTATATATTCAATTCAAGAATTAAGGTTGGGTATAGTCTTTGAACCCTGAAGTAACTGGRCTGATCTAAGTCAGGCTACGGTTAGAGGGAGAGGACTAAGTCCCAACGCATGTCTATGTCCCGGATGAGAAAGGATTAGTGTATACAATGAGTATTTTATGATTTCTTACAGAGTATTATCTAGAAGATGTGATTCAGATGCTCGGGTTTGTTCCTCCGATACCAGAGAAGAAAAAGAAAAGAGATGATGTGGAGGACGATGAAGAGGTACAGGGTTATTTTATTTTTAAAAATGGTAACCGTTAAACAAAGAAATGACACTCTAGAGAATGACATGTGGTCTGAAATGGGAAAACATTACGTCCAAGCTAAAGAGGTCTAATGTACATTTTGATATTTTCTTCAGGAAAACTGTAATCTTATATGCAGTGAGCAGTATTCATTTCAAACAAAGAACTCCATGGCTCAACTGAGTGAACGAGAGATGTCTTTTGAGCTGATCGAGGTGAGTGGAAATGGGAACCCTGTGGTATGAAGGTCTAATTATTCATTATGATRGTTTTGCAACTTGTCCCATAGAGGCCTTGCACACCATCACGTGCCGGCGCCCATAATACCTCTTGGGCTTCCTGTGGTTAGATGGCAGAACAATAAAATCCCTTTTCTCTTGGGAACTGAATTCTTTACGCTTATTATGACACAGGATTCCCATAACATCTGACAAGTTACATCACTAATCCTTACCACAGGGATCCGATGACATCTGACTTAATGTTTAATGTTGATTTTGTTTTTATATATACTTTTTCTCGGATTCTTCTAGATTACACAGGGATCCCATAACTTTAAACTTTTGTTTTCTCAGGCTCTTCTTGATTACATCGGCAATCTYGGTGTCCCTGGTGCAGTATTGATATTTCTACCCGGATGGAACTTGATCTTTGCTCTCCATAAACACCTGAGGATGCATAGACAGTTTGGTAAGTTGGTTATATTTCTCAGTTGCTGTGTTTCCATTCATACGTACTCGACAGTGACGCAAGCATAGACGCAAAAACACAGGGAATCCAATTTAGGTAAAAGTGAAAGTTATAAGATATAAAATCAGGAAAAAATGGTTTTGGAAAAATAAAGCAATAATATATACAATATCCAGCTCATCTGAGCTGGAAAAAATGTTAGCCAATCAGAATCGAGAAAATTTGCAAAACTGAGGTGTCACTTATGGATTTCCAGGTTACCAAATAAAAATAATAACGTTACTATTAAGAGATTGACAACAGCAACACGGACTAATGTTATATATTTCTATTGCAATGGTGGACAGGTTTTTATTTTTCACTGGTCAATTTTTGTAGGCTTCATGACACCTCAGTTTTCCAGTGACGTCATTCCTACGTAACTATCTCAGATCAGCTGGATATTTCTTACACGCCGTGGGATTTCAATATAATTTACCTCTAGTATTCCATTGTAGACATACTACTTATTTTATGCCAGTGTTATAACCAGTTGCCCCACAAAAGCAAAACATTATGGGGATTGCGAAAATGGTGAATAATGAAAACCACAATTTATGATGGGATCCCTGTGTTAAATGATCTGTCGTTTTCTTTTCTATACAGGAAGTAACAAGTATCGTCTACTTCCGCTCCATTCCCAAATACCGCGTGAAGACCAGCGAAGGGTCTTTGAACCKGTTCCTGAAGGCGTTACCAAGGTACCACTCGCAGTACAACATCACTTGATGTTAAAAAAGATTTTCTGCGTTTTTTCGATTGTTGCGTTGATTATATCATTAATTTTTATCWTTTAGATTATCCTCTCCACGAACATCGCCGAGACAAGTATTACTATCGATGACGTCGTGTTTGTAATAGACTCAGTCAAGTATGTTGACCAACGTACTCAGGGTGTTGTTTTTGCGAGGGTAGGGGTGAGGGGTACCTTTTGATAACAATTATCTTTTGTGACATGTATGGATCACCCAAAATTATTTTAAAAAATTCAAATTTAAAAAAAAAAACAAATTTTGTCAAACCCTCAAATAAACTCTGAGTYGATCAAAGTCAGGGCACGACTAACTCACAGAATAATTGGGATTTGGCGTCTTTAGTTTTGCTCAGAGAAAACCCCTCGAATCAAGGAAGAKACCTAACAAACTCTACTTACATGTGATCCGATTTTACCGACACCCCAGAGGTCCAGAAATAATGTACCAACAAAACCACCCTTGAATTATACTTAGATGTAAAATACACTTTTCTCATAAATGGTCGCCAAACCCTTCAAGAGACGCTTAAAAGAGCTCGAATTGGTGAGATGAATGACTGATACAAAATATCGTACTGAGYAGACTTTGTTTACTAATGAGGCCTTACTTACCTCGCTTCCATGCAACTGTCCCTAGTCCCGAGTTTGGCGGTCGTTTATGAGAATCTCTATTTTTTCTCTCTCTCTCTCTTATTAAAATGCTGTTCATTTTGTCAACGTCCTTAGAGCCAAGGTCAAGTTATTCACATCCCACAACAACATGACCAACTACGCAACAGTCTGGGCATCTCGTACCAACATGGAACAAAGACGCGGMCGGGCCGGACGAGTAAGGCCTGGGTTCGCTTTCCATCTTTGYAGCAGAACAAGAGCAGACAGGCTAGCCGAGCACGCTACGCCAGAGATACTAAGAACACCCCTTCACGAGCTGGCTCTTTCCATCAAGCTACTCAAGCTGGGAGATATCACTGAGTTTTTAAACAGTGCTATTGAACCGCCACCTCTGGATGCGGTGGTGGAGTCTGTTGCTATGTTGAAAGGTGGGTCAGTAGATTCTAATTAGTCGGGTAGCATGGGTGGCGTTCACGGGGTCGAGCCCTGTGGTCGCCACATGTGAATTGAATTTCCTTGTTGTGTTGTTCTCTCCTGTGCTACGAGGGTTTTCTCCGGGTTCTCCGGTTTCCTCCCTCCGTAAAAATCAAAGTTTGAGTTGAGCGTTGTGTGCATAGAACATTAACTGCAGTGGTAGTGCGTGTGAAAAGTGTCCCCAATTAGTGCGAAAGCGCTAGAACGACTAGACACTTAAATAAAAGTCATTTATTTATTTATTCATTAAATAAACAAATATTACGGTATAATTAAAAAATTAAAAAACTAGTACGTAAAAATCAGAAAATGTCAAAAAATGGTGACTACATGCTATTGTTAAACTGAAAATTTTGAATTGCATAGCAAAAAGCAAAGAGCAAAGTAATCCCTTTCGATTCGTCTTAAAGAATAAACTCGGACTCAATTGTAAGAAAAAAAGTATCTTCAATAAAAGTGATTTATTTTTTCATTTAGAGATGGAAGCGCTGGACACCAACCAGAATCTWACACCTCTGGGATACATACTTGCTAAACTACCTATTGAACCAAGACTGGGCAAGATGGTCATCTTAGGCTGTATATTCCAGTAAGCTAGGATTCTACACCTGTTTTATTCGATATCTCCATKCGATCAAGGTTTTTCTTTTTTTCAATCAAATGTAACTTTTTTAAGGAGCAGAGTTTCTTGAACGTCGTGGACATCCATCACTGTGTCATGCCGTGCCGTGTCATGCCGTGCCGTGTAATGCCGTGCCGTGTAATGCCGTGCCGTGTAATGCCGTGCCGTGTAATGCCGTGCAATGCCGTGCCGTGGCATGATGTGACGTGACGTGTAATGCCAAGATTTGTCGTGACATGAAGTGTCATGCCATTACGTGACGTGCTGTGTTATACCGCGCCGTGTCATGCCCTGCCGAAACGTGGCGTTTCATGCCGTTGATGTGTCGTGACGTAAATTGCCGTGCCGTGACGTGCCGTGTAATGCCGTGTCGAGTCATGCCGTACCGTGTCATGCCGTACCGTGTCATGCCGTGATGTGTCGTGACGTGAAGTGAAGTGTCATGTCATTATGTGACGTGCCGTGTCATACGGTGCCGCGTCATGTTGTACCGTGCCGTGACCGTGACGACGCCATGTTCAAACATAGTTTTCATTTTAGTAGTGATTTTGCGTGCCGTGATGATTGGTGCTATGACATAAGAAACCTACTGACACACCTTTTAAGGAAGACATTACATTAGACACTTTTCCTCCGCCTTGTTTTTTGCAGTTGTGGTGATGCCATGAGCACCATTGCTGCTAGTACCAGTTTTCCTGAACCATTTGAGACCCCTGCTGACCGCAGGAGACTGGGCTGGGTCCACAAGAAGTTCTCTGGCACGCGTCATAGTGATCATATCGCCATGTTAAGCGCCTATCAGGCTTGGGAAGATGCTAGGTGAGAAATAATAATAGAAGGTTGATGTTCATTCTCGTACCCAAACCCCACTCATTAGGGTAGGGACTGGGTACGAGTGGTTTAAGTCGTGACGTACTTCCGGGTCCAGCTGCTCACAAAAAAATTCTAAAATAGAGCGGAAAATGTTCTCAATAATCAAACTTCCATCTGAAACAATTAGGGCATTGGGCAACGAATTCTGTCACGAAAAAAAAAGTTACAAAAAATATTCATAARACTGTTTTATGTTTTGAATTTCCATACGATTGACGTACACAAAAGCTGTACCGCAACTAGTGCAATTTTCATCTCGTATTATTTCGCTTTTGCCAGTGTAAATATTCATGTTAAAAATGTTTCACAAGAACAACCGAATAGATAATGTTACCAAGATAATTATGAATCATTTTAACGTGCATATTATACAGATCCGTCGATGAATCWTCAGAAATGAGCTTCTGCGACAGCCATCAATTGAATATGTCCACATTAAGGATGACTTCAGAAGCCAAGGTACGTTGAAGATTAAGAAAAAAATACTTGTAGGATATATGAAGCAAAGCAGACCCCACCCCCATGTAGCCCCACCCCATGTAGCCCCACCTCACCCCCGCACCATCTCAGTCAATAGCTTCGAACCCTTTTCCTGGTAAAGCAAATTAAACATTTGTATTTCTTATTAATTAAGTATAACCAGAACAAATAAGTTTCCCCTTTTAGGAACCTGCGTCATGCCCTTGAACATATGATTCAGTAGCATCTACGTCCCTAATTTTTCTTCTCGAGTGTTGCTGGCAAAAATAGAGTTAATGCTTTAGGGAATGGCACACGATCTAAATAGTCCCCTTCACAGTTCTCTGCACCATCTTGAAAGGTAGCCGTGCCTTTGCATTGAAGCGAGACGAACGGTGAGCTTGCAATGATAGAGACCTTTTTTTAACACCTTGGACAATTATTCACATGTCTCTGTCAATGCAAGCTCACCGTTCGTCTTGCTTCAATGCAAAGGCACGGCTACCTTTCAAGATGGCGCAGGGAACTGTGAAGGGGTCTATTACGAAGGCAGTGATCTATTACAACGCTTGCCAAGTATTTGTATTACTTAAAAAAACATCTGTATCTAGTTACAGCTAAAGAATCTGCTATGCGATGCTAACTACCCAGAAGGTAAGAGTCGGGTATTGGATATTGATATTGAGTATTAATATATGCATTTYATTCTGCTTGTTTGATCCCTTCATATCTTGTATCCTCTGACCTKGTCACGACACTCCAGTTTCATGTGTTTGTTTTTCAAAATGTTTTCTTTGATCAAATGTTCGTTCACTTCAGACACCGTTGCCATTATTTTTATCACTGATGTATACAAAGAACGATTCAAAATTTCTATCATGTTTWTATATTTTCAGACTGCATGCATCCAGAGCCGTTTAACTACAGTGGACCAGACTCTAAACTTGATATGGTAAAAATGTCTTCTCTTGTCCCTTTTTTCTTGGTCCCAAAAGTCTTGTGCGCACAGTAGCTTTCTTAACGATACTCTCTTCTCCAGCAAACACGTTTCCCCCTTTTTTTTCGCGTGCCCTGTTTTCCCGGCGAAATGGGATGAATAATTTGTTGCTTACATCTTTCCCCCAGCAAACACTTTTCCCGCCGTTTTTAATACTCTCTCCTCCAGCAAACCCGTTTCTCGCCTTTTTTTTTTTTTTTTTTTTTTTCTTGCCTTTTTTCCCGCCAAAATGGCATGAATAACGCTCCTATGTTATTTAAGTTATGGTACTTTTTTGCCATTTTGCTGTGCTTCCCTATTTTTCCGCCAAAATAACATACATGACGTTCCCATGATATGTTTCCCTCGATCTTTCTGAAAGCAAACAGTTTTCTCCCTTTTTTTGCTGCGCATACCTCTTCCCCCGCCAAACTATCATGAATGACGTTCCCATGTTATTTAAGGTACTTTTTGCCTCGATCTCTCCACACCCAACACATTTCCCTTGCTGCGCTCGCCTTATTTTCCCGCCAAAATAACATGCAAATGTTCCTATGATATCTAGGTTGTAGCACTTCTTTGCCTCGGTCTCTATCCAAACGTCTGCATGCATCGGGAAAAACGAAAAGTCATCACAACTGAAGGCAAAGCTGCCCTTGTTCACAAGTCTTCAGTCAACTGTACAAACAGAGACTACATTTTCCCGTCACCGTACTTCGTGTTCGGGGAGAAGATTCGTACTCGTGCCGTGTCGTGTAAACAGATGACCATGGTTAACCCAATACAGCTCTTGTTATTCAGCCAAAGTAGAGTGACTTACGAGAATGGCATGGTTACAGTGGATGACTGGTAAGATTAGATGTTTAACATATGGAATGACCTATCGATCGACTTGACACCTACTGACTCTTTGATATTTTCTTTAGTGGTAGATGGCCCGGTCGAGGCCGTATTAATTCTTGGGAGGGTCATTCTCCACTTATTTCAACATATAACCTAAAATAGTCCCCTCCGCTGTTGTCGTTAGTTTCGGTCCCAGGTCCACGCCGTTAGTGGAGAGGGCCCGCGWGGATCTGKGAAAATGATGACCAAAAACACATGCATGACTGTTACACTCTCAGTTTTATAGTATTCGGTTGCTGTTAAGGACCCTTCCCTGTCTACCACCCTATTTGGGTCAACATCTTGTACAAGCGCAACGATAGTCGACTTGTTGATTTACGACCACAGGGAGCTCATTATCTAGGACATTATAGGGGAATTTTATAGGAAGACAATAGTGCAAAAAAAATTTTTTTTTTTTTTTTTTTGCTCGATTTTTCTGTTCTCTTGTATTATTAGCACACTTTCTTAGTCCCCAGCCAATAGTGTAGGGAGGGGGAACGGGGGGAGGGGGGAGGGGAGGCCTGTCACCCCCAAAAGTTTGCTATTGGCATCAACATTTTCATTCGGGATTCCTGTGGATTTGGCGGGAAAATTGWAGAYCCYCCATAYAATCGAGACCTACRTTARTTATWAAGGAATCTTCTATTTTGTGTTTTCACAGGATTCGACTCCGTATGCCCCTCCAGCAAGCAGCCATGATCGTAGCCTTACGACAAGCCATCGACGTATTATTGATTCAAGCGGCATCTAACCCCTCGTGTATCATGGAGCCATCACAAGCAGATGAACGAGTCATCAGCATCATCAAAGCTCTTTCTAGAAACAATGCTGGCAAGTTTGTCCAGGCGAGAGAAGGAGGACCTCCGCCGCAGCCCCTTGGACAAGGACTGCATCATGGACGAGGGTGAGTAGATATTCAAATTAAGGGTAGTGTATCCTCACCTCTAAGACTGGACTTGGCATTTGAGTAGAGTTTGTTGAGTCTCTCCATTGATTTATGAGTTTTTGTACGTGTCCTTCGGTTTTCCTCCCTCTGTATAACCCAACTCGCTCAATAGACCTTATTCGCGGTGTGACAATGTTTTCCCAATTCAGCGTGACGAACCTCCAGGGAATTCATTTTCTTTTGTTTTTACTCTTCGAAAAATTCATGAGCATCCCAAAGGATAGGAAAGGAATAACGATGATATCCCGACGAGTTTCAAAACTATAGCTCTTCATTCCCCCAGAGGTTTGTCACGCTGAATTGGGAAAACATTGTCACACCACGAAGAAGGTCTATTCCAAAAGGACGTTTGCATAATGGCGTCACTGACCTCTACTACCAGACTCCCTTGCACACTTTCTTTTATTCAGTTAATTAGCACCAATCGTCTTACTATTCTCATGAGGAAATACAAATTTGAATAAGAAAGAAAATTCGCGAAGCATTATGGTAGTGGGAGTCAAATGACGCCATCGTGCAAACGTCCTGTTCTCGAGTATCGAACTTTCTGTTACTCAAGGTTAGCCTCGATTTTGTATAGAATAATTATGTATTCTAGTGAAGGTCTTTGAAAGTTCAAAGTGTTTGTATTACGTTGAAGTTGTGCATTCTTGAGTAACCTTGAGTAAGTGAGTCTGTAATCAAGGAGCACAGCACTATTGTACCATATTCGAAAATGGTCTGTTAACCGAACCCTGACTTCAAAAGTAAGGAAATGTTGTCCGTCCAATAACTGTGTTCAGATGGCAAGAAACCACCATTCTAGTGCCACGGGACGATACGCTTCCGTTAGGATGGAATCCTTTCTTCTATTGTAACTTTTCTCGCATGTTTTTTGTCTCTGCAGGGGTTTTGGTCGAGGTGGGCGTGGATTCACTCAACAAAAGCGTGGCTACCAAGGTCCACGTCACTATCGTGGAGGCGGAGGCGGCTTCCGTGGTGGTTTCCAAGGAAACAGAGGTGGTGGATTCAGAGGAGGCTACCGTGGGGGGAGAGGAGGATACTAGTTGCTTCACACACCCTTTTAAAAAATCTCATTTCTAAAGCTAATATCGAGTCTTACAATATTTCAGATATATTTGAGACAACCTTATTCCTACTACCCTGCTTGCAGAGGCCTTTCTCTGTCCTCCGTTCTGGCTATAGGTCGGGTGAGAAAAACACCTTCTGCTCGCAGGATAGATTCCTACGACATGTTACTTTGGATTTCCTATCTTRCATTAAAAGCACGAATATAATCAGTCTCAGTCTTTATATTTTTGTTATCGAGAGTATTGCTCAACTTTATACTTAGACCATTTCCATATAATACGCGACCAAGAAAACCTGATTCGAAGCTTTGGTCCTAATAGCTTCCTTCATCGAATTTCTAACAATCTGAGTTAATATTTTTTATATTTGAAGGAAGGGAAAAACCCAGACGTCTTGGGCTGTTTTGGTCGCGTAATTATAAAAAACGGATGTAACGTAGTAAGTCTCTATGCTTTTAAGAATGCATTTATCATGAATCACGGGGGAGAAGCAGAATAGGGAAGGGGTGCCCTGGGTTCTAGAGTTTTCTGGCTCCAGTACTCCTCGGTCCTACTGGTCCCCAATGACTAGTCCYGAGTCTTCCGGCCTTTTATGTAAGCGGGCTGGCGCCAGGAGGTGACGACAAAGCAAAAAGGCGCTGAAGGACTGGGTACGAGATTTAYTGGACCTTTATGCACCCAAGTCCAGAGTCAACCGGCTTTTTGGTTAGCGGGCTGGGGCGAAGGCGCTGGAGGAATCTGGGTACGAGATTGACGCACCGAGCGAAGGGTGAAGGAAGGCGACTTTAAAAATGGAGACCTAACAAGAAATGGTTACATGGACTAGCCCAATGATAGAAACAGAWTTCCAAAATATTTCTGTATTTGTACAAGATTTTTATTCTTACACTACAATATATAGGAAATCCTAAATAAGCAAGTCGTTCATGTAAATTTGTTTACTTCACATCAGCGCGTCGTTTGGAAGATTTGCGCAGTCGATTGAAAATACTATGTTGCATCATCGATATGGCTTTCATTTTTGTTTCCTAGACCTYTTCCGATCGCCATACACAAACTTGTGTTAAATTGCAACGAAATAGAAATCGGAATTGCTTACGCTTATATGAAAGGGTTTTCAGYTGCAATAGACCAAATGGTCTTGATGCAATGTTCACTCATTTCAGACCACGTGTTATTCTCTAGATTCTCATGCGCAACCGTTAAACAAAGTAATGATACTGTAGGGAATGACACATGGTTTGACTGAATGGGAAAACATTTTACCAAGACGAAAAGGTATATTTCCCGCATAAACTGCTTCCGACTCCGTCGCATGTGAAAGCCAAGAATGAAGACGCAATGCCTRGAATTTTCCCGCGGCAAATACAAAATACAAAAGCGAATCTGGCCCAGATTTGTTTCTCAAGAAATGATATACTTAGTATTGTTTCAGTGCCGCTGAAATTCTTACATCTAGAATTGTCGAATATTTCTTTAAAATTTTGGGKTCGCGTAGCGCCTTCTGACCCAGAAATACGTCGTAACTTATGGCTCATTATTTTTCGTTGGAATTATAAAACCATATGAGATAGATTGAAGTATCTATATTTATCAAGTATTGACATTGTAAAGATTCAAACTATTCAAAATATTTGGCGGAAGGATGAAAAAAGACGAAATCGTATAATTTCTTTCTTCATTTGCTGTGTTTTTGTCCATCAGAACCTTAGTTGAGGCTTGTTCTTGACCATGAATCTGTGAAGTGAAAAAAATAKATTCAATGATGTATGGGAGGGGAACGTCAATAAATGTTCTAAGGAACTTGATGTCAAATTACCCTATCTCACTATGATGTCGCGTGAATTCTGAGATCGAGTAGAATAGTCCTTTTCACAGTTCCCTACACCATCTTGAAAGGTAGCCGTGCCTTTGCATCGAAGCGAGAAGAACGGTGAACTTGCAATGATAGAGATCTTTTTAACACCTTGGGCAATTATTCACATGTCTCTGTCAATGCAAGTTCACCGTTCGTCTCTTTTCGATTCAAAGGCATGGCTACCTTTCAAGATGGCGCAGGGAACTGTGAAGGGGACTATTGCGGGGTTGTAAGTGTTTTCTCGTTAAAAATTCAAAATACACTTAGCCAGACAATCGCCAGAGCAGGCCTTCACTTAACTTTGGCATATTTAATTTTTTTTAAAAAAATAGGTAGGTATATATTGTAGGATAAAAACTAGTTTATAAAATGAACGAAAACCAGACATTTCAAAGCTATCTATCATTTGAAGAGTACAATTAGTCCAAATTCTTGTTCTTCGCCATTCGGTCCCCCCTCCTTTAAACAAGCTGTGACGCCATAGTGAAATAAGGCAACGTCTTACTAAGCCACGGAAGACATAACTTTKTGAAGCATCGTGCAGAACAAATCGAGGCGCCCAGACTTCATAATCGAATAAAGCTGCTCTAAACTTACTTGTCCATTGTGGTCCAAAATGTGTTGAT